TTTTTTCTCAAAAAGCTTTTTTTTCAGTGATAATCACGTACTTGGAATTACAATTTTGTTGTTGTCGCTCAAATAATGAGCTGCTTTCATATTAGTGATGATGATAATCGGTTGTTCCATAATTAATAAGATTTTTTTTTAGAGATTTTTTATATACTACGAAACAGCAGTATTAAGCAGCTAATTCACGTTTTCAGTGAAAGCATGGTTCTTCAACGTTCGAGCCGACCCATTTGTGCTACAATTATATCAATGCGGCATTAGCCTACCAGGTAAGAGACGTATTATTTCTATAATCTATTATTAACATCACTAGATTCAAAGATGTTTTAATTGACAGTCTTTTTTTTAACATTAAATATGATTTTATAGTATTTGAATAATTACTCAATGATCGATTATGAAAATATCGATTATTCACTAACGCGTACTATGATAATATTTAAGGCAATGATTCATCCCTAAAGTTACTACATATATTAGGAAGAAGAAATTAAAAAAAATGAAATAAGATAAATATTTCGTTAGTCTCACAAAATTAATATTTCTATTTTGACAAATTTATTGAATTTACTCAATTAGCTCACTAAGTACAACATTCTAAGAGACGAGCCACGGAAATGCAAGCCTTGGAGCTATGAAAACTTTACTGCAGAATTTTGGTTTAAGTAACTAATATCGAAGGTAGTTTATATTTCGCCTTTGCACGCGAACAAAATATTAATTAAATGCCGACGTTAAGTTGCAAGTTAATAGTCAAAGAAGTTTTAATATATTTATGGTAAATAGATAAGTTTCGGCATGCAAAGCGCATTATATTAAATACGAGTGCAAAAATTATTGTCTATTATAAATATTCGTATTTTAAGGTTCCTTTGTCGTTATGTTGACTTTTAAGTTGCAAGTGAATAACGTCATGGAAGAAGCTTAAATCTTTTAAAGTAAATAAATAACCTTCGGCACGCAGCGCATTATCTCTTTATATAAAAACTCGAAAAAAAACCAGTTTTGATGATTTTTTTTGTGTTTTTGAGTGGGTCCTTGGATGATCTATACGATTCACAACTGGACCCGGTAGGTGGCGCTGTTGTCGAGATACAGAAATCACACGTGCGAAGCTGGGACGAATCGCTAGTATTAAATACAAGTGAAAAAAATATCGTCTATTATAAATATTTGCATTTTAGGGTTCCTTTGTTTGAGTTTCTTTAAGTTGCAAGTGAATAGATAAGTTTCGGCTTGCTTAGCGCATTATATTAAGTACGAGAAAACCATTATTGTGTAAAGAGCGATCCGCCCCGGCTTCACGTGGCTTATTTCTGGTCAACTACGAAGTCCAAGTGTAAATCTAAACCATCCAGGGACCCACAAACACACACAAAAAATTTAATCAAAATCAGTCGAGCCATTTTCGAGTTTTCGCAAGACGAACGGATAGCAATTGATTTTTATATATACATATGTAATTGTGTATTGAAAGTATTATTAAGGGTTCCCTTGTCATAAAAGTAACCTTTATACATGAATTATTGTAAAAATGTGATTAAATTCGTGAAGTTTTTATAACCTCTAGAATTTCAATTTATAACTTCTAGAATTTCAATAGAATGAAAAAAAAGATTATGGAGTGGTTTTCGTTGATAGGGACACTTGTTTATTTTACATATTATTACTCATCTAACAATTCATTAATTCAGCTTTATCTGAATAGTTAATATATCCCACCAACGGCTCCGTGGCGCAGTGGCTTAGCAATCAGTTGTTGCGCTGGGGACCGCGGGTTCGAATCCCGCACGGAACTAGTATTTGTATGGCCTACAAATAATTGTTCCGGGTCTGGATGTTTGTCCTTGTGCAATTTATGTTTGTAAACTGCCTCTACGACACAGGAGAAAATCCTAGTTTGGGGGTAACGTTTTTTAAAAAAAAGATATTAAAGGTAAAAATAAAAAAAGAAAAGATAAACACAAAAATGTGATAAGAGGTTCCATACAAATGTTTGGAGTTGTCGATAAAAGAGTTAAGATCTGCACTGTTGGCGATCTCAATAGTATTTGCTTATATCATAGAAACTATATTAAATAACCAATTACATAACAGAACAAAAAATCAGAATAAAATCCCAGAACAGAGAATAGTTTAACACAAAATGTAGAGGAATGCACAGGGAATATTCCTTGGACTGTAAGGATAAATTATGACAGGAACTGAATAATAAAGCTTTCGTTCTTTCTTTATTTTCTTATATTTTATACAATATGTTCTTATCCCAAACATGAATAAAAATATTTTGACTTTAAATAATGTGCAACGTATGATATATGACGTATGAATATAGTTAAGACGTTACATTTTCTTCTTGTTAATTATCTAAAATGAATTTTACGATACCCACGGGAAGAGAGAGATTCTAATCCGCCGTCGGTGCGCGACTAGACAACGAAAGTACTCAGTAATTGAGCCACGATAGTTAACAGGATAAGCGCTTGACATAAATTTCATAGTACACGAGCGATACGAGTTCAATTACCCACATCGTTAATTGCAATTTTAATGCTTACACGGCTGTGAAAAAAAAACGTCGCGAAGAAGACGGCATGTCTGATAACAGATTGAGGTTTGATGAAGTCCGCAAACGCGTACTGGAGTATTGCTGCAGAATAATTGCTCCAAAGCCATTTTAGAAATGAGAGAAAGCCTATGCTCAGCAGTGGCATGGAAATTAGTAAATTTAATAAATGTATCTAGTGAATTTATTTTTGCTAAACCTTGTAAGAGAATCCATCACCCTATTTCGTCCCGTGACGTAAAAGGTGAGTATGATAAGGGAAATGCTTAAATGATCTTATGATTTCCGATAGAGGGCGGTATAACGATCTCGTTAACGAAAGATTTATAATGCCAGATCGGAAGCAGCGTCACGGGTGCAAAATCTCTGGCACTGCGACCGTCATTCCGCTTGCCAAGTGTTTCCTCTCTACAAATGGCGCATGGTTGTTAAAAAAGAAAGGATATATATATATATATATATATATATATATATATATATATATATATATATATATATATATATATATATTTATAGGATAAGGGTGACAAACGAGCACACAGTCCACCTGATGGTAAGTGGTTGCTGCGGCCCATAGACATCTACATCTATCCTCCATTACAAATCAAAATGCAGATGCGTTGTCACCCGTGAGGACTAAGATGGAATGCCTCATTTCCAGTAAAAAGGGCCTCCGGCCACCTGCACTCACCAAGCGAAACGCAGAGGTAAACCTCTACTTCACGCTGGTATTCTGTGAGGTCGTGGTACCACCCCGGTTCGAGCCGGCCCATCCGTGCGACAGCAAAAGCTGCCGCGTGGCTCTACCACTGTTAAATATATATATATGTATATATATATAGGTATATATATATATATATAGGAAATATTTCTTTTTATAATGATTTCTTATATTTACGCGAAGACTACACATTACAAGAAACTTATTTTTACGGATTTATTATTTTATTAATTTTATCGCGTTTAATTAAACTTTTCAATTCCCGACGTTTCGGGTGCTTTACAGCACCCGTGGTCACGGGGGGGAGGGGGGGGGGAGGGGGGGGGGGGAGGGGGGGGGGGGGGCTGAGGTGTTTGTTGTCCCGATGTCATAGGTAGCCGGGCTACCTTCTATATATATAGCTGACTTGAAGCACCGACGTTCCAGGAAGTCTGCAGTGTGTGAACATGTTTGTGTTTTTTTTTGTGTTTGTGTACTACATTACATTTGATAGACCACAAATCCTCGCAAAAGAACACCGATTCCTACCAAGGATGATTCACGTCAAACACCTCAGCCCCCCCCCCCCCCCCCCCCCCCCCTGACAAATTACATTGCGTATATATAAAATACAAAGTAAATTGCGACGTTTCAGATGTAAAGCACCCGAAACTTCGGGAATTAAAAAGTTTAAATAAACGCGATAAAAACCGTAAAAATTAATTTCTTTTTATTTCACGGATTCAGATAATGTTATTTAATTTAACATTTACGTAAACAAAAAACTATACTAAACTGTGTGGTTTTACCAGGTTGGCGTAAAAAAATTACGTACGTGAAATGAAACATACACTCGTGCGGTTTTTAAACCTCGCGAGAAGGATTTAAGCTGTTTTTATTTTGTTTTCTGTGTAAAGAAGAAGCTTTTGTTGTTCTAATTTAGCTGTGTGTTGGTTGGAAATATTTCTATTTTCTAGTAACAAATCAAATTATGTATTAGTTTTTTAAAACAATAGAATGAAATTTGCAGTTTCAGACCCACAAAGAAAGATTTAAGTGACGCTAAAACCATGGTCAACTTCTTGAGACGTGACGCACACATGTTTCTTCTTTCTTTATTTCTTTATTGGCCCAAAAACGTTCGCTGGACTCACAAATATGCACAAACTATGTTGTTGGTTGCAAATGATTTTAAAGGGCTAAATACAACCATTTCGCAAGGAAACGCAGTTAACAATCTTAGCACGATACCACGGAGAGTAGGACTGTATGATTATTTAAGTTTTTAGTTTTAGTTATTTTTTATAATTTTTTTAAACTGTATATATTTCAATATTATGTAAATAAGTGTATATATTTGAGGTACATAGGTGAACGTACATGAGTGCTTATCTTACAATAAGTTAAGCATGGTTGTGACTTGGTTTTTGCATTAATTGAAATGTACGCTACGTCCTTCGTTCTTAGTTGGTCTGAGTTTACATTATAAATACAATATAATATTGTGTATTTATAAAACATTTTGTGCATGAAAATGTATTCAAAACTTTCACTATTGCGTGGTCTGTCCACAATTTAAGTTGTCTACATAAATAAACTAACCATTGAAAACTTAAAATAAGCTTTCATTTATCCTTTCAGTTGATCCCATTCAGAAATCTAATCGTTGAAGTGTCAATGACCTTTCTTTTAGTCGATGTGAGTTATCGACGTGGGCGTTTTTACACTTACCGGTATATCGTTGATATAGAAAGTCAGATCAGATGGCGGTCGGCTCGGTCCAGACGTACAATTAGCTCTCAATATATCTCCTGGCATATAATAATGCTGGCTGGTAACAATTACGGGCGATAATGGTGGCAACACTGTTAACAAAATTTAAAAAAATATATTAAAGCAAATTTACACTTATTTTTGATTTTCTTATCATTTATCGCAACGATATTTTATTCATATGTACAAATAGAAATACGATGGATTTTTAAATATACACATTAATTCATTTCAGCCATCAAAAGTGAACTGCTAAACATGGGTCTTACCCATAAATTGCCTTGGCATGTAGATTAGCTTTTTATTATTCGGAGTTGTTATCAGGAAGATGCTGCTGAACATCTTCTGTTCCATTTCTCTCTGCCGTTTCTTGCGCCACTCAGGGCATGGCATGCCAATGACGCCTTAAAAAGACATGCCTCGCCCTATTTTTATTATTATTTTAAAACAAAATTATCTTTACTCTTCAGATCGTAAAGTCTGAAAGTTAAAGGAAGCTAGAATAATTACAGGCTACGAAGCATTCCATCTAAGTCCTTGGATGTGACAACGCATATATAGGCTACTTATATTTGAAGTTTGTTGCAGCTGTACTTAGGCTATTATAGCCACTTACCATTAGGTTGAATGTAAATTCGTTTGAAACTAACCAGTGTTTCTATAAATCATCTTTACAAAATATGATAGTAAACGCCTTATTATTAAAATAAAACATGAAATTATATACGAACAGAATTTAAGTGTAAAATGTTACAAATGATTTTTCAGAGTTCTGACAATTTGCAATTTAAATTTTTAATATACGATGGTTTAACGTGCTATATTAAACACTCTGTGTTTGTTTTGCCGCGGGTTGGCCAAACGACCTATTCGTTGGAAGTGGTTTTGTAGTACAGTGCACAATAGCAAGTGTGAGGTGACGGTTTTATTTACGTTGTAAACCTGCACTCTACAAAATCACTCTACGAAATCATAGGTTTTAATTTAACATAAAATTATATTTTAAGCAATTATAATGTGTAAGTCCTTATATGTAAGTTCCTTTTCAAAGTGAATACTATCAATAATCATTATCTTCTTACAACTAATTACAAATCTATTTCTAAATATAGCCAAGATATCTTGCCCCATGGCGTGACAAAGAATGCCTTCGATTTACAAAAAAAATTCGGAAGGTGTTACAGTCCCTTCAGCTGTGCTAAATTGACAGTCGTATTTGTATAGAAAGGCTATGATGTATATCCAACGGCAGAGACAATTAATATATATATATATATATATATATATATATATATATATATATATATATATATATATATATATATATATATATATATATATGTGTATATATATAGTATATATATCAAGACAGACAGATCAAAAATTCTCTACCTCTGCATTTGAAGACATATTCAAGCAACTGGACTGTTCCCTATAAAGTTCGAATAACTGGCAAACGATATGATTTAAAGATTCCGGGATGCAAGCAGTTCTGGACTGTATTTTGTTGCAATCTATACTATCATTAAGTACGGTAAATTTGAAAGTAGTAAGTTTTTTTTAATACTGCAGTGGAAAAGGGACTAGTTATCCTTACTGAATTACTAGTTCCTTTTGTGTCACTGTAACTCAACGACACCTACCAAAAATTTCAAACAACGAAAACCTTAGATGCCTTGTCATCCTTTATAACTAGACTTGAGTTTTTACACGAACGACTCACATCTAAAAATCCCAGTAACGTCGAAGTCTCGAGAGAATTAACTTTTTCTTATGATCTGAAGGTTTATATACAAAAAAAAAAAACTGTCGAAAGATTTATATATTAACAGATAGAGGAAAGTTTAAAAACATTTTATTTAACCTGACGGACTGTATATTTTAGTATCACATATAAGTATTTAATATACGTGGATAAACTACTAATATTAAGGATTTTATAATGATTATTTACATATAAAAATTATATTTTGACTCCAAGAAACTAAAATTAATAAAATAATGTTCACATTACAGCTTCAGAAGTCAATACTAAGACATACAGTATAGATTTAAAGCTTCGAATTTTAAAGCTGTAACATGGACATTTTATTGTTTTGTTCTTTGTCCACAAGATCAATGTAACAACTAGAATGTAGTCTAAATAGTTCCTTTAGAGATTTCATTCACTATTTTCTCACCCTTAGAAGTGGAAAATAGTCTATTAATTAAAATCGGACTACCTACGTAATATAGTCTAATTAATAGAATCAGGCGTTACTTTGCGGAAATCCATTATATAAAAGCTTTTGCCAAAATTTACTTCGCAAATATCCGCGTTATAAAATAAAATGATGTGTCTTACCTAGTATGAAGAAGCACCTCCCGCCCTCCCTCAAAGGGAAGCACCTAGTATGAAGAAGCACCTCCCGCCCTCCCTTTGAGGGAGGGCGGGAGGTGCTTCTTCATACTAGGTAAGACACATCATTTTATTTTATAACGCGGATATTTGCGAAGTAAATTTTTGTTAAAGCTTTTTTATGTAATATAGTCTATTCAAATAAAAGAAAAACTCTTTTTAATGGTCTAACAATTGACGAAATTATTATGTAAAATACATTAAAAAACAAAGAAGAACATACAGTCGAGAAGGCAACCGTCTTTCTTTGAAGTTGTCTAAAATACGAAAATTTTATTTCATTTAACAACAGTTTTACTCGAATTACTTAGTAAGATAAGTGTATAAAGTTTTTATCATCACAAATGGGATTTGGTTTAATAACATTAATAATATAAATAAGGATAAAATTTAAGAATAACCAGATGCCATTTTGTATTAAAAACTTACCGACAACCTCCATGTTGTTGGAAACAATTGAAGTCGCAAAAGAAGGCGCATCGGCTGTTACCTCACAGCTGAAGTTTCCGGAAAGACCGAAACTCACTTTTGTCAGTACAACTTGGCTTTGATTCGATCGGGCAAGCTGCAACAAAGAAAAATATTATATATCTCTCTACAACATAATAAAATTAATTAAATCTTTATAATTTTAATCTTCGATGCGTGTGTTAGTAATGGTGTAACTTCTCATTATCTTGACCGATTTAGGTCGAAATCACACAATATATTTAATTTTTCAAGACGATGGAATTTAGTTACGCTTGGAACCATAGAAATATAAAAAAGAGAAGTGGCAAAGGGGCGTATTAGTGTAGTACTTTCTGATTTATAAAATGCGAGTGTGTGCGCAACTCTGTATCTAATTGCTTTTACTGATCTGCATGTGTAGTAGTTAACGTGTAGTAGGAGCCAACTGGAGACACCAGGTTCCGATACATTTTCAACTACCAGGCATTACTCCTCCTTTTCTATATCTATCCTTGAATGTGACACGGGGAATTGTAGTCAAGTTATTAACAAACTCTATATTTTTGAACCTAAATGTCTCATTATTAACAATATAATGCATTGGTATATTATCAAAAAATTAAATCACAAAATCTAGACATGATATTATATATTCGTATTTTATTAAACTTTATATATGAAATTCTTCTGTCCGTGCGTATGTGACTGAACTCCTTCTAAACGGTTGGAACGATTTTGAAGAAATTCTGTGCGTTATTAATTTGATTCAAGAATGGTCTAGATTTACAATAAGACCCGGTAGGTGGCGCTGTAGCCGGGGCGGATCGCTAGTATATTTTATATTATAAAGTTTAATCGAAGTGAAACTCAGCGCGTGACCTGCGGGAAAAGACAAAATAACAACAATTTTAATAGAAGATAAAGAAATAATGTTTTCACTAAAATCTGTATGTTGATGTTTACTTTAATATAATTGTTTTTTTTAAAAACGTTACCCCCACACTAGCATTTTCTACTGTATCGTGGAGGCAATTTACAAACATAAATTGCACAAGGACAAACTTCCAGACCCAGAACAATTATTTGCAGGCCATACAAATACTTGTTCCGTGCGGGATATAGGTAATATAGTGAGATCATCCAGTTAAGCTAGATTCATAGACACGATTACTTTTTCTAACGGTATAACCACTTTACAGCCGCATTGTGATTTTAGCACGAAATAATTTGTACTCGCGAACTAAGAAATTCAATACATCGTCACATACCTGCAGTAGACCCAAATTTACCAACAGAGCAACAGACACAGACAGATAGAGCTCGCTGAACTGACAACTTGGACTCTTCTGACCGGTATTCGTATCCGGGATTTAATCATGAGCAGACGCGCTTACGATCACTAGATCAACTAGACCTAACTAGTACTAAATATATTATTTTAAATTTAATTTATTTACTCTTTATTTTTTTATTTACTCTTTAAAATACGTTACCCCCCCTACATATATACTAAATATAGGCCACATCATCCACTTACCGTCCCCATATTAGCGCAGCAAATGTTAATATTCTAATACTAAATAAAACTTCACCTGAATTTATACTGTTAAATCAGTACTGGATGTTTGTGAATCAGTTGTTTTCTTTTTTCTTTTTTAAAAAAAAAAAAACGTTACTTCCACACAAGGATTTTCTCCTGTATCGTGGAGGCAGTTTACAAACACAAATTGCACAAGGACAAACATCCAGACCCGGAACAATTCTTTGTAGGCCATACAAATACTTGTTCCGTGCGGGATTCGAACCCGCGGCCCCAGCGCAGCAACTCATTGCTAAGCCACTGCGCCACGGAGCCACTGACAAAAATTATGTATAATATTTCGATGGCCTTTTCCATTTTATCAACAAGCAAGAATTTCACCAAGGCTTATCAAATTCGGGGCCAAAAGGCAAAATACAATAGATTACGTCCAATTTTCGGAGCGGCTGCTGTTGTTAATGTCAGCTTAAGTCCATTTCAGGCTGAACCGTAATACAAAACAAAATAACGAAAGAAAGAAAAGACGAACAAAATGACCCATCAGGTTATTATCACAGCGGGGCTGTGAAATAGGAGCTCGTGATAAAAGAGGTTGGATTTATGAACATCTGCCGCGTAGACGTCAGTAAAATATGGCTTTGTTTCTTTACAAAAAATAGCCGTCTGACTGTTATGGATGTTCGAACAAACGTTTTTTAAATGTTTGGCAAAAATTCAGTAGAAGTTTATTTTAAACTTAATATTTTGTTTGATTTTTTCAGTAAATTGTCTTTTTAAATTTTTTAATAAATTTATATTATTAATAGTAAAATAAGAGCCGTGGTAGGTTTGATGGTAGCGCTCGCTGTGAATTTCAAGGTACGCTAGCAACCCGGGTTCGATCCCCGCCGGCACCAATGAAATTCTCGGCAGTGAAAGAAAACAACGCGAGGAGACATGGACGTCTTAATAGCAAGAAGAAAAATGCCGAAGACCTGTGAAGTTCGCCAACACGTATTGGAGCAGCGCGGTGGACATTTCCTTGTCCTTAAAACCCTCTCAGAAATGAGGGGAGGCGTGTGCTAAACAGTGGGATATATTATAGGCTGTAACTCTAACTTTTAACTTTAATAATAAAATAATTAAACTTAATTACTAAACGAAGTTATTGCATGGCATACATTAAAAAATACTGTCGAATTAAAACCTCCTTTTTGATGTCTGTGTAAAATATTAACATCACAGTTTAATTCCAAAAGTTTTATTTCTACTTTCAAACCATAACCGAAAGTACAAATTTCTGTCAAAATATAGGTGTTACTAGAATTTGGGTGTAGTTATGTTTTATTTTTTATAGAATAGGGTGACAGAGCACACACTTCACCTGATGGAAATGGATGCTATGGCCCATAGACATCTATATTTATACTTGATTAAGGATAAAATGCACATGCGTTGTCACTCCTGAAGACTAAGATGGAATGCTTTGTTTCCAGTAAAACAGGTCTTCGGTTCTGCACACTCACCATCGAGACACATCAGTATTTAGCTGCTATTTTAGTCTGGTATTCTGTCAGAGCGGGGTCGTTCCTCGTTCGAGCCGTTCAATTGGTGCTGTAACCATAATATAACTGCGTCATGGCTATCACGTAAATTAAGTTTAGTAAAACAACATTATGAGACGTCTTCTGACTAGATGTATACTAGTAGCCATGAGCTGCGTGAGGCGGCTAGCAACATCTGGACGCACGAAACCAACCAGGTTAAGTGACTATGAATGTTTATTGCTGAAAATATATCTTACGACGGACCGCGTTAAGAACGAATTGATTATAATAAAAAAAAATAACAATGTCATGTCTTTGCAATTAAACAATTTCATCAAAAAAATATATTTCAACAAGAAAACGTGGTGACAAATAATACTAGGAGTAGAATTTTAGTATTAGCTTTTTATTGTTACAACAATTGTGTACGATACAATTATATTATATTAAATAAGTTGGATATAAATTATACAATGAAATCCAGAAAGTTTGTTGAACAAAACTGCACTCTCAGCAACATTCGCTATATCATTTGAAAAGGATCCGCGTATACGCGTTTGGCGGTCATGATCTATGAGCTGACCTCAGCTATTTAATGAATGTGTTTCTGCTTTGACTGTTACGGTGAGTTAGGTTAAGGGACGTTGACTTACTAACACTATATTAAGACTGGTTTCCATCACCTTAGTGCGTTAGGAGAGTACACTAAGTACTGGGATTATTAGAGATTCTATTTGGTCGTAGAATAAAGTGACTCAGTTACCATCATTATCGTCATTATTACAGACCTCTTATACGTGGTAGAGCCATGCTGCAGCTATGACCGAGGAAGACCAGCATAAAATATTAGATTAACGCTACTGTGTTTCGTATAGTAAGTGTAGAGAACCGGAGACCCTTTTTACTGGAAACGAGGCATTCCATCTTAGTCCTCACGGGTGACAACGCATCTGCATTTTGATTCGTAATCGAGGATAGATGTAGATGTCTATGTGCTACAGCAACCACTTACCATAAGGTGAACTGTGTGCTCATTTGTCACTCTTACCCTATAAAAAAATTAAGTAGTACTAATCTATGTACCCATAAATCACTGTACTCAAGACTAAGATGATTGAAACTGGCAATTACACACTAAAAAAAATATTTCTAAGTACATTGCAAATTTTCAAACGATCACGTGCGTTTATTTTTCTATATTACAGCGATATATTAAATTCAATTGTTTTGAGTACAGTCTCTAAAAGGATACTTAGATGAGACCCGTAACATAAATTATGGTTAAAGCGACGGGCCATTCTGAGTGCTTTATTGCCTACATTATCATTAATCATAATATACTTTCTCTTTCGATGTTTAAGACGTAACCTCGATACCACTTTAGAAGCCTAAACATAAAATGTGCTCAAAAGGCTAGTAACTGAGGTCTTTTAAATCGATAACAAAAAAAGTAAAAATTTAATCAACTCTACTATAATGATTTTTTTTGATATGAGGCAATAATATCGAGGTAAATAACAAATGTTATTATTTGTTTTTAACGTAAAGGAGTAGTTATTAACTGAAGTGCTGTAATAAAAAAATAACAAGTTACAAAGAAATTTGGAATAATTTTATAAAGTTAATTTTTTAACTATTCATGTTCTGATAGTTACCTGTATGCAACGTTTACAAATATTGCTATTATGATTGTTAAGTAATATACTACTTTGGAGGATTTTTGGTTCCTACAAACCAAATAGAAAAAGAACATTTTTCAGCAGTCGCTATACGAAATAAATATGACTAAGTGTAGGGCAGTCCCACCAGATGGAGTGACGACCTGGTAAAACATGCAGGAAGTCTATGGATGGAAGCGGCTCGGGACCGTGCTTTGTGGCATTCCTTGGAAGAGATATATGTTCAGCAGTGGACTTGTGAAGGGCTGTAATGATGATGATGATTTTGAATATACTTTTTAATGTAGGACAAAATTTATGAATACCTTAGCGGGGCTTTACGAATTGTCGTAGATATTCCTTGATATGTACTTTCAGATTTTTGAGAAAT